GTGTCCCCCCAGGCTTTAACAAATGCCGGGTGCACCACGGCCGGCGCCACCACACTGCGGGGTCGCTGCGGCCTGGGGGCGCACCCTCCAATGACCCCGTGATTGACAAGGCCAGACGAAGGCGGAGTGACACCGCAGACCCACACCACAAACATCTCGGCGCTGTGGAGCCATTCCCCGCAGAACGACCCGTTCATGGGCGCATCGTTGCCAACGGAGCAGTGCTGCGGGCTGAGCACGAGGTCACCTGGGGATGCGCGCACTGCTATTGCCTAGAGCCGTACGGCTTTGGCATAGCTGGGGGCTGGCATGGTTCTGACCGGCTATAAAAGGGAGCAAGCCGCATACGTTTGCGTGCGCTCGGCCCCACCGTCAGCTGGCCTGCGGGCCCGAGCGCCCGCCCGTCAGCGGGACGCCCCTGATGCCAACGGCGTGGTGAGGAGAAGCCGGGGAAAACTAGCCCGGAGGGGTGGCCCTCAAGGAAAGGGCGCGAGCGGTCGCTGTACCGGGCACCCGTGACTGAACTGTAGCGCTCTGCTATGTAGATATAGTTTCAGTCCTGTTACAGTTCTGGCTTTGCTATTCCTTTAGCTTCGTTATAACCGCTTAGCTCTAACAAATTCTCACACTGGACAAGTGATGCTCTCTCGAGTTCAGTGCAGCTAACCCCGGGATCCGAAAGAATCCCGGCTGCCCCTCTAGTGGTGTGTCACACCATGCTGGCGTCAAATCAAGGCCCCCCCACCCCGAGAAAGCTTGGTGAGGTCAAGGGATATATGAAGCAATGCTGAAAGATGTCCTTGCAGTTCTGAGTTATTTTGAGTGGGATTTTATTTGACCAGCTAGAGAAGGTCTACAATATGGGCATCTGCCTATGAGCTAGTCACTCCAGCCTCTTTTTATAGTCAATAGCTATCAAGTCAATATAATCATTGTGGAGTAGGGAATGATTCATTCCATTTTAAAGTAGATTCTAAAATAGGTCTGATATTTCCGCCAGAGTGCCTGTATCTCTTCATTATCTCTAAAAGGATCATAGAGATTACACTGTCAACATATACATGGTGGTGGTGGAAGAGAATAATTCCCTCTCTTTATCAGCCCTGCCCATCCTGTATTTGCAACAAAAAAAAAACCTTCTGTGCCTGTTTTTTGTAGCTTCCACGTTCAGTGAGATATTGGAGACTTTTCTGCATTGACTCACTGATTCCATTGCAGTAGACTGGCACAGCAATGCAGCCTCACATTGAGGATGTATTATAACCACATCATTTTAAAGTTCCCTCAACTTGCCAGCACAGGCTCTGTGCCTTTTTAATGTGCATTGTTCAAAAGCAGCCGTCCTGTTCCAACCTTTCACAAGCTATGTAATGTGGTGACTCTTCTGCTCTCTTTCCCCTTCCCACTCCATATACACTCTCAATCATTGACATTATATTCAAAACAGAAGTATTCAAGAAATTAAAACCAGAATGAAATCCTCAAGGCCAGGATTCAGAACCCAGTTGTATACGAAACATCTAGTTGCCTTTATACCATTAAAGCAGTATAATGGCAAATAAGAGTTCTTATTTACAGGGTGATTCATGTGCCAGGGTAGACTGGGGGCACATGCACAATGATCCAATTTGCATAGCCTATAAAGTGCTAAAATGTTCCAGCCTTATACACACGCAGGAGTTTGGGCCCCTGCGACAAGTTACCTGGGATTCTTAAAGAGGCAGGGATACTAGGGAGCTGGCAAAGCAGAGCAAACAATCCATGTTAGTGAGAAATGGGCTTGATTATGAAGATCTGCCCAGAGCAAGATTTTTGCACATGACAAATCTGACTCATCCACAGCAGAAAATTTCTCTTGCCCTTTGGTGACAGAGGATGAAGAACTGACCACGGTTAGTGCAATTGTAAGAGCAAAATTAATTCCAGCATTTTCCAGTGTAAAGGCAAATTCTCAGAGTATTTAATCTGGAAACAGCCACAAAGCTCATACAGTGACTGACTATAATCTTTGATTTCTACCCATCTGCCTGTTGGCAAAACCAAGAGCCCTACCAAACGTGTAGACCCATGAATATCACACAGTATTTGGGGTTTCTTCTTTTAATCCACCTGTGCCAATTCCAAAGAAAACCTATGAGCCTATTGTTCTCTGGAGAGGCCTGGGAAAACATAGCAAAAGCATATTCCCAAGTAGATCCATTAGCGGGGTGGGTAACTCTCTTCCGAATGACTGCTGTTAATATGAGAAGCACAAGGTTTAATAGTTACAGCAACACATTAGCGGTGAGATGAACTGGAATTGATTCTTTACATCTGCTCTGACTATCCCAGGGTCTTTGAGAACCTAACAAACAGCTCTATTTCTCACTTCCCACTTTTCCATCTCTCAAAAGTATAGGGAGACTTTGTCCACTTTTGGAAATTTAGATGGAAAGTGTTGTATGTGCAAAGTATTATTTATAGACGAAAAAGATGGTGATTTGCTTTCTAGAAGCAGCAATAAGTATTTTTGTTTGGCACTGAAACAGGTGTCCAGGTAGTTCCTTTATAGGCTGATGCATACACTTATTGACAGTTTATAGTTGAAGAAAACACTGGAAAAACACATCATTCTAATTGATGGACATGAAAATTTAAAGTTCAGTTTAAAAGGTGAATATAGTTATCTGACCTTGCCATTTATATAGCACATTTGAAATTGTTAATTTGAGTCATATTTGCATTTATTTTTGTATTGTACCAAATATTTGTCTTTTACCAAGAGTGGACATAAGGCTGCAATTCTTCAAGTTTGAGACTTTTTTAAAGCCACTTGAAATTAATTATTTTTCTTCTCAGTGAAA